TGTGAAGATTGACAGCCTTGGAAACCCTGTGGGGCAGTTCCACTCTGTCCTCTAGGGGCGCTGTGAGTCAGAATAGACTCCATGGAAGTGGGTGTGGTTTGGGCTTTGCTTCTGTGAAGATTGACAGCCTGGGAAACCCTGTGGGGCAGTTCCACTCTGTCCTCTAGGGGCACTGTGAGTCAGAATGGACTCCACAGCAGTGGGTGTGGTTTGGGCTTTGCTCCTGTGAAGACTGACAGCCTTGGAAACCATGTAATGCAGTTCCACTCTGTCCTCTAGGGGCGCTGTGAGTCAGAATTTTCTCCAGGGCAGTGTTGGTTTGGGCTTTGGTGCTAATCAGGGTCCAGCAGGCTTCTTGTCTTCACTCTTCTAGCCCTCATCTCCCCCTGTCCCACTGAACCTCGGCAACTGCTGACACATTGGAACCAGGCAAATCTCATTGGCTTTTAGATCTGGTGACTTTTCTTTCTGTTGAATTAGTGAAGAAGGAAGATGGGGCAATCTACTTCCGTAGTGATACTGCCTGGGAAACTCAAGGAGGGGTCGCTATGAGTTGGGTCCGACTCAACGGCACATAACAACAACAACAACAACAACATACTTAAAAAAAATCTGCTGTTGTCAGCCACTGGAATAGTGATATTTAAAAAAAGAAGAAGTATACTGAATGGCTCTTTGCTGTAACGTCTGTTTCTGCAAGCATATCTTATTTAGAAGGAGCCCTAGTAGAACAAACAGTTAAGTGCATGGGAGCTCACCAAACAGTTGGCAGTTTGAACCCATCCACTAGCTGTGAGGGAGAAAAATGTGACAATCTGCTCGCTAAAGATGACACCCTAGGAAACCCCAGTGAGCAATTCTTCTCTGTCACATAGGGTTGCCAAGAGTCAAAATGGACTTGAGGGTACCTAACAATAACAACAGACAGCAAGTTAAATGTCACAGAACCTGTCAGATCTGACTCATAGCAACCCCTCCTTGGGTTTTTGAGGCGGTATCTCTACGGAAGTAGATTGCCCAACCTTCCTTCTGAGGAGTGGCTGGTGGGTTTGAACCACCAGCCTTCTGGAGAGCAGTCAAGTGCCTTAGGCACTGTGCCACCAGAGCTCCTAGATGTCACAGATACCCAGAGAAATTTCAAGACCCACTTGGTCATGTTGATTCATTTTGCCTTTTTTCTGGCTACAGCAGGTGGGTGTATTCTTAACTACTGAATAGCAAACTAAGAATTTCTGAGCTTAATTTCAGGTGTAACTTCTAGTCCTACGTTGGTATCCAGTCCACAAAAAAGGAGGTCTGGTTGTGCACTCAACTGCCAGCCACAAGGTACTTACTTTAAACCCTACAGCTGCTCTGCAGGAGAAAAATGAGGCAGTCAGCCTCTAAAAAGATGGACAGCCTTGGAAATCCTCTGGTGCAGTTCCACTCTGTCCTCTAGGGGCGCTGTGAGTCAGAATCGACTCCGTGGCAGTGGGTGTGGTTTGGGCTTTGCTTCTGTGAAGACTGACAGCCTGGGAGACCCTGTGGGGCAGTTCCACTCTGTCCTCTAGGGGCGCTGTGAGTCAGAATCGACTCCGTGGCAGTGGGTGTGGTTTGGGCTTTGCTTCTGTGAAGACTGACAGCCTGGGAGACCCTGTCGGGCAGTTCCACTCTGTCCTCTAGGGGCGCTATGAGTCAGAATGGACTCCAGGGCAGTGGGTGTGGTTTGGGCTTTGCTTCTGTGAAGACTGACAGCCTTGGAAACCCTCTGGGGCAGTCCTGCCATGCCTTATAGGATCTCTGTGAGGTACCATTGTCCTGACAGCAATGAGTAATCCACAAGCATACATTAGAAACTAAAAGTGAAAGTGAGAAAGCTGGGGCAGGTTTCTGATGAGCCTGAGCCCAGAAATAGCAACCTGGCATCATGAGGAAGACCTGAGAAATGGTGGGAGCGGTTTAAGAAAACCTGGCTCACATAAAGTGCCTCCCCTGCCCCTCTCATGCAGCCTCGGATAAGGTAAATACATCCGTCTGTTCAATATATCTCACCAAGGAGTGCTGGTGGTGCAGAGGTTAAGTGCTCAGCTGCGAACCGAAAAGTCAGTGACTGAAACCTACCAGCTGCTCTGGGGCAGAAAAAGCTGTGGCAGTTGGCTTCTGTGAAGGTTACAGCCTTGGGCATCCTATGGGTCAGTTCTACTCTGTCCTGCAGGATCTCTTGGTTAGCAGTCACATGCCTTAGGCATTGCACCACCAGAACTCCTTAATTCTATGCTTAAAAAAAAAAAAATTCACTGCCATTGAAACGATTCTGACTTATAGCGACCCCCTTTGGGTTTCTGAGGCAGTAAATCTTTATGGAAGTAGATCTCTGCTTTCCTTCTGCAGAGTGGCTGGTGGGTTTGAACCACCGACTGTCTGGTTTGCAGTCAAATGCCTTAGGGGCTGTGCTTAGCATCTGTTCCTATATCTTTGTGTGCATGTGTGAACAGTTTATCTTTGTTCCTTGGTGAAACGTGCAGGCTCTGCTATGAATGAATTATGTGCACTGGTCTGTCTTGTACAGTTAAAACGGCTTCTGTTTTCTGGGTATTTTCA